GGACAGGCTCCACCTTGATACTTGTTCATTGGCATGCCCCTGGGTGAACGGTCTAGTAGATTGTCACTGGAGTCCAGCATTACCTTCATTCGCTTCTCGCCAGACCATGCCTCTGTATCAGCTGACTTTTATGTTTGATGCCCATTGACTACCAAGCTTTCACATCTGATAGTCCTCCTTACAACACATCTTACCATGAGGACCACTGTTCCTAACAGGCTGTCTTCTCTTGTAACTCTACAGGTCTCTCCTCTTACCTGGATTTCACCAACCCCAAGGTCAGAGAGTGGTATTCAGGTCTTTTTGCTTTTTCTGTTTATCAGGTAAGTTTTTATTCATTTGCTCTTTCCTAGTTACTTGAAATGATGAAAGAATGAAAAGAAGTGATTGAATAGAATTATACTGCTTCATTGAATAGCCCCTAATAAATAATGCTTGTGTGAAAAGGGAAGGGTGGAATCACATTACAGACTTTGGTGGTGCTGGGAGAGATGCCATGTGTATTATTAAATGCAAAAAGCTATGATTTTGACCTCTATTATAATATATCAAAGTACTTAATTATAGAGATGTATTACATTTTCAAATTACTATATACTTTTTATATAAAATAGCATTTTATAACTATTATTTAAAAGTGATGATATATGTGGAAATATCTTGCAAAGTATGTCATTAAAAGTAAGGTATAATAATAAATTTATTCCTAAATCTTATAAAATCCACTGAGAAAACAGGAGAGGCCACATCTAGAGAACTGTTTTCAACCAATTATGATGATGATAATGATGTCTAATATAAATTTGAGTATTTTCTATGTGCCAAGCAGTGTGCTAAACACTTTCTGTGCATATGCCATTTTTATCTTCACAATAACCCTCTGAAGTTAGAACTATAACTCTATTCCCACAGTTGAGGAAATTGAGACATAAACAAATTTAAAAACCTGCTAAGTTCACCCATCTAGTAAGTGACAGACCCAAGATTTGAACTCAGTTCTGTTTGTTCCAAACCCAGCTCTTAACCACTCAATGCTAGTTTCTGAGCATCATGTGTTAGGACACAGAAAATAACTAAGAGCAGTATGAACAACACTTGAGCCACATGCTCATTCATTTCCCTGTTGTCTACGGCTTTTACATTACCAAAGCAGAGTTGAGTTACTGAAAAAGAGATCTTATGGCCCACAAAGTTAAAAAACTGGCTCTTTCCAGAAAAAGATTGCCAACCTTGCCCTAGAGGGTGCTAAAGAAGAAGCGTCAAGGTAGTTAAATATTGAAAACCATATAGCCTTGTTCATAGACATACATTTAGAAATAAAGGTAAAGAGTCAAAAGAAAACACATAAGCCTCCTTTAGGCATTTGGAAGACTGTCATGTGGGTGAGGCAACAGATGTATTCTGTGGTATCCCAGAAATGAAGCTAGACCCTGTGAAAGAATGTTACCATTCATAAAATAATGGAATGAGCTGCCTGAGGGACTCCTTGTCACTGTAGCTATCAAGTCAAATGCTGAGAGACCAGGGATTCTATAAAGAGATTGTAAGACCATGACTAGATGACTCAATAGCCCCTTCTCACTCTATATTGACTAGTTGTATGTAGAATATAAACTATAGATCATACTAACAAGAAGGCATCTTAACTGTCAAATTTTTCAAAGTATTAGAGGAAAAGCAGAATTTTATCATGTACAACTACCATTGCCCTTCTCTGAGTTAAGAGTTGTAGCAGATGATGGATGATATAGAGCTTAATTGTGATCATTCACAACCTTTCCTGTGGGGGTTCTCCAGATAGACCTAGGAGTAGACTTGCTGGGCAATATGTATTTCACAGACAATAAAGCACAGCATTCTTTCATTAATCAACAAATACTTATTGAAAACCTTCTATGGTTCAAGTGTTTGGGATATATCAATGAACTCCCTGCCCAGTAGAGCTTTTTATTCTAGCAGTGGAGCTGAGGACAGAGCACAGATAATAAACATAATGATTAATAAATGAAATGGAGTAGGAAAGAGGAATAGGAGCAGCTGTCATATTAACATACTCACTGTAGAAGTAGTACCTTGACTAAGATTTCTTTCCTAGGGATCTACTGACATCCTCTACATATGTAATGACATGAATGAACCCTCGGTCTTTAGAGGGCCAGAGCAAACCATGCAGAAGAATGCCATTCATCATGGCAACTGGGAGCACAGAGAACTTCACAACATCTATGGCTTTTATCAGGTAAGAGAGCCAAGAAGAAGCCAACTGTACCCATGTACCCTGCCTTTTGGGCTGAAAGTTGTTTCCTTTGTAATAGCCATACTATACTGTTCATTTCTCTTTGTGTGTCTTTTCTGCAATGAGTCTTACCAGGTTGCAGCCAATACAAGACTCATTTTTCCTTTTGTACCTTTGCCTTCTATAATGAACTTGATGAATTTATATTGTAAGATTAATGGTAACATAGAAACATCTTCCTTGACAGGAGCCACTAGTAAATGGTATTGGATACTACGTCAAAACTTTTATTGAAGTAAACAAACCATGTGTAAATACATAAAGGCAATTAGGACAAATGTTTTGAAATTTCACAAATTTCTCAATACATTAAGTCTTACATTTATACCAGGGGAGTAAGATTTAGAACACACATACACAATTTCATAAGTATACTTTTTAAATATAGAAAGTCATTCTTAAGTACTTAGCTTTCTCAATAGAATTGTCTTCCATTGGCCAATCACATCTAAAAGACCCAGGCATGTATAGTGATGCCCTAATTTATACCCGTGGTTCTCTGTTATTTTCAGAATGTAACTGTTCTTATGGCGCTCCCACCAACTGGTATTTTCCGGTGGGAGCTGCTGGCTAGGTATAGCTTGGTTTTCTGTGTTTACTTCTCCAATAGGCTCTTGCTATAATTGCAAACGACTTTAGCGAATTTCCTTATGTAGGCCAGAGCCAGTCACTTAACCTCTCTGAATCTCAGTGTTTTTTTTTTCATTAATGAAGACTGTCTCAGAGGTTGTTGTGTAGATTATAAGAGAAAATCTTATAAAATGCCTGATAATAGTAAGCATCAAAAGGTTTGGTCTGGCCTGTGGGGATCAGGCCGAAATTGGGAGTCCAACATCCCAAGGGATGCAGTAGTGCACAAAGTGGCAGAAGGCCAGGCACCCTGCCGCTCCTGCTCATCCCGGCCCTGCTGTGCCTGATGTGGCTGCTGCTAGGTAGCGTGCTGCCACAGAGGCAGGAGAGGCTCACGCTGCCACAGCTGTGCTCGCCAGCTGTGAGCCCGGTGTCTGGTGCCTGTCAGTCAGCTGAGCAATGCACCCGCTATGGTAACACACTGACCACCACGGGGCAGCTCCTGCATTGAGCATCTGCCCTCTGGTGGTCAGTGTGCATCAGAGCAACCGGTCAAATGGTCGTTCAGTTCTTTGGTCGTTCGGTCGCTTAGGCTTTTATAATATACTAGAGGCCCAGTGCACAAAATTCGTGCACTTGTGAGGGGGGAGGGTCCCTCAGCCCAGCCTGTGCCCTCTCGCAGTCTGGGAGCCCTTGGGGGATGTCCAGCTCCCTGTGGAGAATGGGCCTAAGCTGTCAGTCATACATCCCTAGCTCTGCCGTGGAGGCAGGAGAGGCTCCTGCCACCACTGCTGCATTTACCAGCCGTGAGCCGTCTTCTGGCTGAGTGGTGCTCCCCTGTGGGAGTGCACTGACCACCAGGGGGCAGTTCCCCCTGGTGGTCAGTGCAATTCAAAGCTACCAATTGTTCCGCTGTTCAGCCGATTTGCATATTAGCCTTTTAATTATATAGGACTAGTGCCCCGGGGCCCAGGATTTTTGCCCTTTGAAAGGAAATTAATTAAGAAGAAAAATTTTAATATCGCCATTCGCGTCTTGCTAATGAAAAGAAAATAGGAGTCTACCGAGTCTCCTATCTACCTACTCCAGGACTTCTGATGAGGCATGGGAAATGAGATGAGGTAGGGTAAATGCATGACAAACATTTGGTTAAACTGTAAAATGTTTGCACTTGGCTATAAAGCAAGTCGGGTTCCTGGGCTAAAGAAACTCCAAGGATGCTAGTCTCTAGGGAGAGGAAGCCAGGCATTGCTGTGTGATGTCATTAACCAACACAGCCACTGTTTCTGGGCTGGGCTGTGGGCTGCATTTTGTGCCATGGGGTCTTGGCAGCATTGGCTGTGATTTGGTGAGGTGTTGCTCTGGGGTGGTGGCGGGGCCTGTGTCCCACTTGGGGGAAGCCGAGTGTTGGTTTGTTAGCGCCAGGTCCGTGGCACCATTTATTTTTAAATGGCCAGTGCATGTTATGGCATCTCCTGCAATTAGCATCTCCTCCCTGGTGGTCAGTGCACATCATAGCTACCAGTCAGACGGACACTTAGCCTTTTAGATATATATAGATAGATTATTTCATTGCTATTTTAATCAAATAAATTTTTCATTATTTTAATAAGGGAATTTAGAGTAGTTTCATTACATCATAAAAATTGTTTGATGGATTTATTTTAATATTTCCCATTTCACATTCCCACCTACTGTTTGTTTTTTACATGTTAAGTAGTTTCTTGGGGATGTCTACACAATGCCCTAATCCAATCATCTGTTTGACATTTTTCTCCTTTGACTTTATAGCAAAAGGCTACTGCAGAAGGACTGATACAACGATCTGGGGGAAAGAAGAGACCCTTTGTTCTTACACGTTCTTTCTTTGCTGGATCACAAAAGTATGGTAAGGAATGGCTCATATGATCAGACTTAAAAACACAAGCCTTTATAGAGCTATTAATGCCTTCCTTTTCAGTAGCCATTGGGCAGGCCTTAGATGTGCCCGGAAGTATGTATTTTTGTCCTATGATCAGAGTAAACCAATTTTAATAAAGTTTAATTACTCATTTCCCACTGAAAAAATGGCCACTTAATTTTTGGGTGAATGACTTCAGAGTATCTGTTTGCGGGGATGGTGATCTCTGATCCTGTCTCTTTGATTTATCAAAACCAGGGAAAATACACTTCTAACACATTCCTTCAACCACCTATTTCACTCAGCAATATGCCTTAAAATAGACCTATCTGTGGCTTATGGTCAGGGTCATCTATAACTGGATCTGGTTTACTAGCTAATGCAGATCTAGTTCAACTTTACCACCCTGTGGCAGGAAGGCTATTTTAAGTCCCCAGGCACAAATAACTGGGAGCTTAGGTTCTTGTTTGAAGAATCCAGCCTTTACTGTACATAGCCATTACTAGGCCTCCTACTCCACCCCTGAAAACCAGCCCCTGTGGTACTCGAGAAAAGGCTAAAATATTGTCATCTTAAGCAGAGATTCATGTACAGATTTGCTCACCACAGTATTAGTTCTTGAAACAAAAAAAAACAAAAAATTCAAATATGTAAGGGAATAGTTATAAAACTATAGTATATTTATATGTTAGACTGTCATAAAGTTATTTAAAATAGCCTTAATTGCATGAGAAAATGTTTGCCATCATGATAAAAAAAAAAGCCTAAATATATTTATATATCATCCTTATTTTGTGTGTGTGTGTGTGTGTGTGTGTGTGTGTGTGTGTGTGTATCTACTAGAGGCCTGGTGCACAAAATTTGTGCACTGGGGATGGGGGATCCCTCAGCGTGGCCTGCACCCACTCACACTCCGGAACCCCTCAGGGGATGTCCACCTGCTGGCTTAGTCCCAATCCCCCTGGGGTTCGAGCCTAAGCCAGCAGTCAGACATTCCTCTCACAGTCCAGGGCTCTCACAGTCTGGGACCTCTTGCTCTTTACTGCCCACTTGCAGCGGAGGCAGGAAAGGCTCCTGCCACCACCGCTGCACTTGCCAGCCATGAGCCTGGCTTCTGGCTGAGCAGCGCTCCCCCTGTGGGAGCGCACTGAACACCAGGGGGCAGCTCCTGTGTTGAGCATCTGCCCCCTGGTGTTCAGTGCGCGTCATAGCAACCAGTCATTCCACCAGTTGTTTCGCCCTTCAGTCAATTTGTATATTAGGGATTTATCATATAGGATATATATAAAAGCTTAAGCAACCGGTCGAGTACTCAACCACTTGACCGATCAACCGTTAGCTATGATGTGCACTGACCACCAGGGGGCAGACACTCAATGCAGGAGCTGCCGCCTGGTGGTCAGTGCATTCCCACAGTGGCTGGCGAGCACAGCTGCAGCAGTGTGAGCCTCTCCCGCCTCTGTGGCAGCACTACCAAGTGGCAGCTGATGCAGTGGGGCAGGAATGAGCAGGAGCAGGGCGGTGCCCAGCTGGGCTCAGGCTCCTGCCCAGCTGCCAGTTTCAACCCGATCCCCGTAGGCCTGGGGGAATCAGGCTGAAACCGGCTTTCTGACATCCCCCAAGGGGTCCCAGATTGCAAGAGGGCACAGGCCAGGCCAAGGGACCTCACCAGTGTATGATCGGGGCCGGGGAGGGACCATGGGAGAGCTCCAGGGTGTGTCCGGCCCGTCTCGACCAGTCTGGATCGGCCGGACCCCAGCAGCAAGCTAACCTATTGGTCGGAGTGTCTGCCCCCTAGTGGTCAGTGTGCGTCATAGCAGCTGGTCAAACAGTCCAAAAGTTGGATACTTAGCATATTAGGCTTTTATTATATAGGATTCTAGAAAAGACTACTTTAATAGTCATAGAAATCAAATCAATGGTTGGATAAGGTGGGGGTAATTGGCTGAAAAGATAGAAACTTTTGCTGTTATGGAAATGTTCTATACCCTGCTTGTGGTGATGGTTACATGGTGCACACATTTTAAAAACTCATCAAACTCTTCACTTAAAATATGTGCTTTTATTGTTTGTAAATTATATCTTTTTTTAAAAATATATTTTGTTGATTTTTTTACAGAGAGGGAGAGGGATAGAGAGTCAGAAACATCGATGAGAGAGAGAGAGAGAAACATCGATCAGCTGCCTCCTGCACCCCCCCCCCCCCCCCGCCACTGGGGAAGGTGCCTGCAACCAAGGAACATGCCCTTTGACCGGAATCGAACCCAGGACCTTCAATCCTCAGGCCGACTCTCTATCCACTGAGCCAAACCGGTTAGAGCATGTAAATTATATCTTAGTAAAGTTGATTTTTTAAATGTTCCTCCTAAAATCAGACTTCAGTTAGACTTCAAAAATAAGTGATTTCAGAATATTTTCGCAATTTCTTTTGTTGATTTTAATAACTTTTTCACATTAGAAAATTAATATATTTTCATTCTGGAAGACCAGGATGTGTATATTTTAAGGTAAGGAAGAAATGCATTCCTTTATATTAATTTTGTCTATTACAAATAAGGAATCTAAACATGAAATCAAGGGCATGGGCTGATTTGTGATTTTTTTTTTTTAAATACCTTGTTACTGGTGTCCAAAGGTGCTGTGTGGACAGGTGACAATGGAGCAAAATGGAGTTACCTGAAAATTTCGATCCCTATGTTACTCACTCTCAGCGTTACTGGGATCTCTTTTTGTGGAGGTAAGGTGATATCCTCAGGCTTGAAGTGAGAGAAAATAAAAACTGAGGGTGTTTTTGTCAAAGCTGGTCACAAATCCCTTCTCATTGGCTGTTTTAGATAGGGATAAACGCCGGAAAGAAAAGATGAGGAAAGTGAAGGGGGGATTAGAGAGGAGAGAAAGGGTAGCTCCAGAGCTGTTTTGTGTCTTATCTGAATTGAGGACATAAAGGCAGGAGTGGGGCTAAGTGCTGCTTTCCCTCATTCTCTTACTGCTTCCTCAGCCACTCTTGGTAACTGAGTTTCTCGTCCTGAAACATGCCTTTCTCCTTGAACAAAAAATAGAAAGAACTACAAAGAATTTTGCAAATAAGAAATCAGCCTTACAGAAATCATTTTTGGAGAAACCAAGATGGCAGCATAGGTAAACACGGAAGTTTGCTGCCTCGAACAACCACTTCAAAAATACAACTAAAAGACGGAACGGACATCATCCAGAACCACAGGAAGGCTGGTTGAGTGGAAGTTCTACAACTAGGAGGAAAGAGGAAACCATACCCAGACTCAGAGGAGGCGCAGTGCTGAAGTGAAATACTAAGGTGTGGAGTGCATGTGGAGCGGGCTGGAGGCTGAGGGCGTGGTTGTCATTTTCAATTGGGAGGGAGTCTCAGGCTCTGAGCTCCAGTTCCAGACGAGTCTCTAGGGACCCAGACTCATACGGGAGAAGCAGGACTGTCTGGCATCGCTCAGAACCCTAGGGCAGCTTTCTCTCCATGGGGCTTGCAGCGATTACTGGGACACTGAGAAGCAGAGCCTCCAAGGGCAAGACTGAGAGCAGCCATAATTGCTAACCCCGCCCTGTTGATCCTGTGGGACCCGCCCCGCCCAAGCCCTGCAGGGAGACTTTTGCTGGATAGCCTCAGGCAAAGGCTAGATTAGCACCTCCCTAGAGATCCAGGATCCAGGAAGCCCAGAGGTCAGAGTGGGACCATCCAGTTCGCAGCTCCGTGGAACCATAAAAGACACACTCAGGGGGCAGACTCAGTGAGCACCAAAGCCCCATCGAAGCAAGTCTTGTCCCAGAGGGGTGTCTCCAACACAGAAGTTCTCCCACCGCAGACACAGCTGATTCTCACAGCCAATTGGCCTGGAGGTCAATTCCTCACAGTGATAACTACAACAATCAAGGCTTAACTACAACAAGACTGTGTACAAAGCCCACAAGGGGGTGCACCAAGAGTGTCTACCTCAGGTAATTGGGACACTTAGCACAGAAAGGCACTCTATCAACACAGCGAAGCATAAAAAATGCGGAGACAAAGAAACAGGACACAAACGACAGAATTGGAGGAAAGCAAACTGTTGGATATAGAGTTCAAAACCACACTTTTAAGGTCTTTAAAGAACTGTCTAGAAGCTGCCGATAAATTTAATAAGGCCCTCGAAAAGACTGGTGAGACCGCCGATAAATGTAGTGAGATCTTCGAGAAGACTGGTGAGACCACCGATAAATGTAGTGAGATCCTCAAGAAATCTAATGAGACCCTCGATGTTGTGATAAAGAACCAACTAGAAATTAAGCATACACTGACTGAAATAAAGAATATTATACAGACTCCCAACAGCAGACCAGAGGGTCGCAAGAATCAAGTCAAAGATTTGAAATACGAAGAAGCAAAAAACACCCAACCGGAAAAGCAAAATGAAAAAAGAATCCAAAAATACGAAGATAGTGTAAGGAGCCTCTGGGACAGCCTCAAGCATACCAACATCCAAATTATAGGGGTGCCAGAAGATGAGAGAGAGCAAGATATTGAAAACCTATTTGAAGAAATAATGACAGAAAACTTCCCCTACCTGGTGAAAGGAATAGACTTTCAAGTCCAGGAAGCGCAGAGAACCCCAAACAAAAGGAATCCAAAGAGGACCACACCAAGACACATCATAATTAAAATGCCAAGAGCAAAAGACAAAGAGAGAATCCTAAAAGCAGCAAGAGAAAGAAAGTCAGTTACCTACAAGGGAGTACCCATAAGACTGTCAGCTGATTTCTCAACAGAAACTTTGCAGGCCAGAAGGGAGTGGCAAGAAATATTCAAAGTGATGAATACCAAGAACCTACAACCAAGACTACTTTATCCAGCAAAGCTATCATTCAGAAGTGAAGGCCAGATAAAGAGCTTCACAGATAAGAAAAAGCTAAAGGAGTTCATCACCACCAAACCAGTATTATATGAAATGCTGAAAGGTATCCTTTAAGAAGAGGAAGAAGAAGAAAAAGGTAAAGATACAAATTATGAACAACAAATACACATCTATCAACAAGTGAATCTAAAAATCAAGTGAATAAATAATCTGATGAACAGTATGAACTGGTGATTGTAATAGAATCAGGGACATAGAAAGGGAATGGACTGACTATTCTTGGGGGGGGGAGGGGTGTGGGGGTGAGTGAAGAGATTAGACAATAATCGTGCACCTATGGATGAGGACAGTGGGTGGGGAGTGAGGGCAGAGGGTGGGGTTGGAACTGGGTGGAGGGGAGTTATGGTGGGAAAAAAGAGTAACTAATGTAATAATCTGAACAACAAAGATTTAATAAAAAATAAAAAACAAAAAAGAAATCATTTTTACTCTGTGAGTTTAAAATTCTGTGACATGTTTCTACTGTTACAAAAAAAAGATATGCTCTTGGGAAAGATAAATTTAGTTAAAATAAGATTCTCTAGTGTGCCACCTTCCCAAATCCTAATAATTCTCTGCAGATGAGAGATCCTAATATGGAAGCTGCTCAGCATGACCACAGATCCAGCTGCTCCTTCTTTTCTCTAGGAATAGAAGTGACTTACTATCACTTTTTGATACATGTGTTTTTATGGCATTGGTCCATACAAGGAATATGTATCCTGCTTAAGGACTAACCATGAAATTCTACTTAAACCTCTCATTCTCATTATCTGTTTCTCTTTAGCTATTTCTATAATAAATGTTCCTCCTAAAATCAGACTTCAGTTAGACTTCAAAAATAAGTGTAATTTTTATCTTGCCCTAGCTGTTGCTTTCAAAGGAAGTCAATTGCCAGCCCTCCACTGCCACCCACCCCTAAATACAGACATGGACTTAGACAGACATTTTGCAATTTCTGGGTTACCTGGGTTCAGGAACATACCTGAAAGTTGATCTTGCAGTAAAGCCTCTGACCTTTGACAAGAATAGAATATAAAAGAGCGTACTATCAGATCCCCAGCAGGCAGAGTTTTTTACTGTGTGCTCCCTAGTTTGAGGCCACAGTGTCATTTTGAGTGCATACACAACACCTTTCTTCTGTCTGTCCTCAAAGCCTTATTTTACTTGAGTGCATCATTTATTAGAGCTTGGTTGCCTCACAAGTCTTTCTTTTTTTTTTTCTTTTTTAAATCCTCACTAAAGGATATTTTTTCCCATTGCTTTTCAGAGAGAGAGAGAGAGTAAAAGGGAGGGAGAGAGAAAAACTTTAATGTAAGAGAGACACATGGGTTGGTTGCCTCCCGCATGCTCCCCAACCAAAGGGTGGAGAGCGAACCCCCAACCAGATACATGCCCTTGACCAGGAATCTAATCCACAACCCTTCAGTACTCTAAGCACTGAGCCTCATTGGCCAGGGCTCACAAACCTTTCTTTGACTAATGAATCAGCTGATGTTGGCGGCTTCGTGGGGGATCCAGAGGCGGAGCTGCTAGTGCGTTGGTACCAGGCCGGAGCCTACCAGCCCTTCTTTCGTGGCCATTCCACCATAAACAGCAAGCGACGGGAACCCTGGCTCTTTGGGAAGAAACACACCCAGCTCATCAGAGAAGCCATCAGAGAGCGTTACACCCTCCTGCCCTATTGGTATTGTCTGTTCTACTGTGCACATGTGACTGCCGAACCCATCATGAGGTAAGTAGGCTTCACCTGTCAGAGGCCCCAGCAAACAGTCTAACCAACCACTGGGGAACGGAGTAATTACACAGTGACTTCAAGAGAACAGGTGAAGGAGAGCCATGTGTTTAATCATGTCCTCAGCTTATGTGAGCAGGAGTGGAGGTAGCAGAAGATAACTCTGTGAATCAAGTGTTAATATTTGATATGAGACAGAAATAGAGCTTTTTCAAAGAAAAATGAAATGACTTCGTAACTGAATTCATTCAGTATTTAACCCACAAGCATCCTCTTATGAAGAACATTATTCTGCCAGTCTTAAGCTCTCTCTCACCCTTGGAACTAAACTGTTCCAAGTTTGAGGGAACCATTTTTTCTGATGTATAAATTATATTCTGATTGTGTTTTTTTAAACTAGAGGAGGAATCACACAGAGACATACTAAGACTCCTGGATCCTCCGTTCCTAAACCTGGCTCAGATCAGAATCATCTGGGAGCGTCTTAAAAAACACAGATTCTAAGGCCACACCTCCAGACCTACTAGGAATCTCTTTGGGAAGGTTCCAGGGGTCTATATTTGTTAGAAAATTTCCTGGTGATTCTAGACATCAGCCAGCTTTAGAGACCACTGCTTTGTTACCAGTAGGAAAGGGAATACATTATTACAAAGGCTAGTGAATAAACTAAAAGTAAGTCTCTTGTTTAAAAATATCATTTCCTCATGAAATTGAAAAATATTAATAGAACCATTAAGTTAATATTCAGATACATAGATATTGAAAGTTTTCTTTATAAGCCCAAATGTCTTCTAGGTAGTTGTGTGCAACAATAACAATAAAACAAAACCACACAACAGTTTCTCAAACCTCTAAAAATGTTGCCAGTTTGAAAACAAGAAAAAACAGTTTTTCTCATTTGAATAGGTAATGATTAAGGATGCATGAAAGGCAGTGACAGCATAAAGAAATGGCATAGATTTTATATTATTATAAAATGATTTTACAAACATTTAATTTGTTTTACACCAAACGTGTTAGGCATTTGGACTTCTGATTCTGCCTGTGAAAGTAGTATTTATTTCTAGTTCAACAATCAGAAGGAAAAATAGCAGGTACGAGATTTCTCAATCTTTCATTTAAACTTATAAGCTAATTGATAGCTCTTTACATAAGAAAAATAGGAGTAATCATAGCAATTGCTCATAAAATCTTGAAACAGATGAAAAGAGACTTGGCCCTGGCTTTTTCTAATTTCCTTTGAATGGTTACAAAACTGAAAGTATAAGTGATTGAATTGTAATAAGAATCTAATGTTGAAGAAAGAATTTTTTTTTTCTTACCCCAGGCCTCTGTGGGTAGAGTTCCCTGATGAATTAGAGACTTTTGGTGTGGAAGATGAATACATGCTGGGTAAGCATTTCTTGATTAATTATAATTATGATAAATATTGTAATCATGTTTTTATTATACTTTCTAGTGTAAGAGCACTAAAAAAAATCCCTAATTTCAAGAAAGCCAAAAAATAAAAGAAATTTCATCACCAAGATTTTTAGTGCTAAGTGGAATCATAGCTATTCTGTTGTCATGTAGCACATCTCGTATTAACTTTAAATAAATCCATCCTATTTGTGAATGTAATTGGTATTCTTGTTCTGGATCCACTCCTTTAACCACCAAATCTAGAACATGGAAGTCTATCATCTTGGCAATAAGGTTCAAAAAGCCAGGCTCAACAGAATTGCCAAAAAGATGGAACAAAAGAGAATGGAAACCCCAAAATGTAAAACATCTTGCTCTTTAGGTCTCTACTCATCCTTAGTTCTCAGTTGAAATAGCAACTTTCTTGGAGTAAAATTTCCTGACCAAAATTGCTTCCTAATACCTAGTTCCACCTACTTAAATTCAAGTCAATCCCTCCTATTACATAACTTTTATTTTATTTTTACTTTGCCTTTTTGGTATCCATCTGAACTCTAATTAGTTTGTAATTACTTACTTAATACCTGTCTTCATTGACTGTAAACTCCGTGAGGGCCAGGGACCATGTCTGCCTTATTTGTCACTATATCCCCAGAGCTCAGCACAGTGCCTAGTACTCAGTAGGCACTCTAAATATTTGTTGAATTAAAGAGTGAATTTATAGCCCTGGCTGGTTTGGCTCAGTGGATAGATAGTCGGCCTGCAGACTGAAGGGTCCCAGGTTCGATTCCGGTCAAGGGCACATGCCTGGGTTGTGGGCTTGATCCCCAGTTGGGGGTGTGCAGGAGGCAACCGATCAATGATTCTCTCTCATCATTGATGTTTCTATCTCTCTCTCTCTCACCTTTCCTCTCGAGAAAATAAATAAATAAATAAGAGAATAAGTAAGTGAATTCATAAATGGATGAATTTTACACATATGTGATAGTAAGGCCAAAACAAAATTAATAATTCAGATCGTGTTTAGGAGAATTTTAGCCTTCCCAGTGCATATGGTTCAGATGTCAACCATGGTGTTGCTCCATCTGGTCTTGCTGCTTTTCTGGCCTGGAGCTGAAACACACTGAGGCCTAAATGTCATCTCTAGATTGACCAAAACTCTGTCCTGTAGTCAAGGAAGAAGATCTGAATGTCCATGCTGACCACACTTCTAGATAATAATTGTAGGCTCACCATCACCAACATCACTTATAGCAAACAATGAGGCAGTTGGGCAAGTGCGATGGTGCTTTCAGATTACTGACATACTAACAGTTTTGTCACTGGAAAGGCACCAGGTCCAGAGAGGGTCTGCCTCGGGCTGGCCTGTAGTGTGTGGAAAGATTTCACCTGAGTCTAGGTGATTTTGAGAGTATGTTTATTAAAGTTGGGGACAGTGAAACAAAGGAAGGGCTTAGGATAGAAGAAGCAACAGGAGAGATACTAGTCAGCCGTGGGCAATCTACGGCCCACGGGCCAGATCCGGCCCGTTTGAAATGAATAAAACTAAAAAAAAAAAAAAAAGACTGTACCCTTTTATGTAATGATGTTTACTTTGAATTTATATTAGTTCACACAAACACTCCATCCATGCTTTTGTTCCGGCCCTCCGGTCCAGTTTAAGAACCCATTGTGGCCCTCGAGTCAAAAAGTTTGCCCACCCCTGTAGATGGTGCTCTGCTTTGGCTCTCTAGAGACGTTACAGGAAAAAAGTGAGCCATGATGGGCAACGTGGACTCACTGAGAAGTAAAAGTCACAGTGACAGAGTGAGCCAAGACGAGGCTGCTGTTACCTCACTGAAAAGTCCGAGAAAAGGGGGCCTTGGAGACAGGCTCAGGGGGGTTACCCCAAGATGAGTTGCTGCTGTCCACTGCTCTCCTGGTTGCAAGTCTTGCCAGGATCCTTAGAACTTAGGAGAAAGAGAGCAGAGATATATGCCTGAGAAAGAAAAAGGGAAGAAAGGTGTGGGCTCCCTCTGGGCTGTCTTCCTTTACCTTAAGAAGCTTTATCTGTTTCCTAAAGGTAAATTTCTGGGGAGGTCTCAGGAGAAGATCTCAATAGACTATTCATTGGCTTTCCAGGTGTGTCATTTCAGGGTCGTGGTTGATTGGTCAGAGCTAAGAGAGGGGATCATTAGTCATTGCATCTGGTTCTGATATCAACCACGGTGTTGCTCCATCTCGTTTTGCTGCTTTTCTGGCCCAGAGCTGAAACATACTGAGGCCTAAATGTCATCTCTAGATTGACCAAAACTCTGTCCTGTAGTCAACAGACCCGAACTTTGTTCCTAAGATTTTATGATGTGGGTCAGAACTTCATTGTCCTGAGGGCCCAATGCTTAAGAGTGTCGTCATGCAAGGGAATCCTATGAGGCCATTCTCCTGCCCTCTTATTCTCCCTCGAAGGATGTCTAAAACCACTTGACTAGCTAGAATATGCCAAGGGAGGAAAGGTCAGAGGAGGGTCTGAATCAGATGATCATCAATATGAATGTTCAGGGGATGTAAACCACATGACTAGGGAGGAAAAGGGGGGAGGTCCTTGTTTTCTCAGTTTTGCCCATTGCTAGGCACCTGGAGCTTTCACCCTGGTGACCTTCTGTACCTTGCCCATTGTCCATGCTCTGCTATGTTTGTCCAACTACTTGCCACAATGATGCACAAAAAGAGACTGTGGGTCCCTCCCTAGAACTTCAACATACTGTAAGTGGATTGATGACAGGCAATAATAGTCCCCTCTGTGAGCACCTATCCTTTTTCTAGCAATGCATCTCTCTGATGAATCATAGGTTCACCTCACCAATGTCTCTACCTTTAAGAAGTTCACAGTCTAGTGGTCCTTAAAACCACAAAAGCACTCAATTAAAAGGAAAGGATGTTTTCAGACTTTGTTTTCAAATTTATTTCTTCTCCATTTTTCAGGAAGTGCTTTATTGGTTCATCCAGTCACAGAGCCAAAAGCTACTGTGGTTGATGTGTTTCTTCCAGGATCAAATGAGGTAAGAGTAAATGACAGTCACATATTTTATATGTCTCATATCTATTTTTCATTCTGATGAATTAGCTCCTGTTAAGAAATAGATTTCTTTATCATGCAATTGTAAAGACAGCACAAATGACTAGAGCAACTAAAGATTCTTATAAGTCATGACCACTGTATTCAGAGATCAAGAAACTTAATGGAAGAGCAGGGAGAAAGTTGAATAGGTGGATTAGAATGGTTCTTTATATTCACACTTTGACTTGTGTAAGTGACTCCTTATAAACACACTGAGATTTTAAGTAGGAATAAATGTTTAGTCTACTATGAGGTATCAAACTCTAGGGAGAACAAGTATAAAAAGACTTTGCTCTTTGGTTCTGGCTCTCTCTGAATCCTGAGTTTTTGTCACCAAAAGCTGGTCTCCAGATGTTATGGCCAAAGGTGATCCTGAGTGGGGGAGTGAAAGGATTGAGAAAAGACAAGAGGATGAAAGCTGGGTCTCGGTGGGACGTTGCTCCCTGATGAGGAGACAGCGCCAGCGCCCACAAGCCGTGTCTTTATTTTATAGCAGATGCCACGAGGCAAAGTAGGGGCGTGATCAAGTTGTTTACAGCATTCTCGTGAGTTTCAACCCCACTCAACTACATGCACCTGAACTCTATCACACAGCATGTGGGGCCACGTGTTCGGACCACAGGTTCAAGCTTACAATCATAGCTGTTGGCTCTAATTGTGCTGGGAGGGCCCTGCCCTTCCAGCTGGGACTTGCACGTGGCAGTGAGAGGACCCTGTCCTTTCATTAGTCCGAAGCTTGAACCTGGCCAAAACACTGTAGCCGCGCCCCACATATCTCCCTTTACTTTTGTTTTTAAACACGCCCATTTACATTATCCAAAAAACTCTAAATAAATTATTCAGCATCATCAAAACAGACTTCTGGCTATTTAACAAAAGCATAAACACAGCAATGTTAACAAGAGAACAAAACTAGCTAATAAAGCAATACCAATGCAAAATCAAACTACAAACATGTTAACATTTTCAGGACATTCCACCCAGAGTCCTTAGATTTAGCTCCGGAAGAATTTACAGAAAACTGACAGTTCACCAATGCTAGCATAGCTTCCACTTGCTTTTCTAACATTTGCTTGGCCTCAGTCGCCATCTTCTTCAGCTGACTCCATGCTGATATCTCGGTCACTTGCGTAGTAAAATGCCGCCGATGCGAAGATGTCGTAGATGCAAAACTAGTCTCCTGGATCAGGCTGCCTGGACGGTTGACCTCAGCAGTGAGTAGGCATCAGTCCCAGTCAAATCAGCCCTGTCCACGCAGGTGGAAGTCTGGTCCTGCAGAGCTGGAGACTTCCCACTCTGAGTCTGGGGTGTCACACAGACCCAAAGTCCCAGGGAGCTATCAGGTCACACAAGCAAAGATAACCAAAGCCTAGAAACAATGCAACTGCCGCACGAGCTTACAATCTAGGTCTAAAATAAAAATTACTTCCTGCCGAACCGGTTTGGCTCAGTGGATAGAGCGTCAGCCTGCGGACTGAAGGGTCCCGGGTTCAATTCCGGTCAAGGGTATGTGCCTTGGTTGCGGGCACATCCCCACTGGGGGGTGTGCAGGAGGCAGCTGATCGATCTCTCTCATCGATGTTTCTGGCTCTCTATCCCTCTCCCTTCTTCTCTGTGGAGAATCAATAAAATATATTTTTAAAAAAAATTACTTCCTTAAACATCAACCACAGCCATCTTTTACTTTACAGTGGCTTAAACAAAACCCAGGAGATTTCTACCTTATTTTGTACCTCCTAATTACTTATTATTTTCTACCGCCTATTTTCTACCACTTGCTTCTTGCCGCTTGCTTTCTACCGCTTATTTTCTACTTATTTCTCTATTCCTACAGCTTATTTCTACCACTTATTTCTACTTATTTCTCTATTCCTACAACTTATTTCTACCACTTATTTCTACTTATTTCTCTATTTCTACAGCTTCTCCTACCGCTTACTTTCTACAGCTTATTTCTCCTACCGTTTATTTCCTACCACTTATTTTTTACAGCTTATTTCTACTTATTTCTCTACCTCTAACTATGAACAATAGGTAGGCTTGGCTGCCCTTGCCCAAACCTTTCTGGGTTGCAACCCCCGCTTACAGAACCATAGGTAGGTCTGGCTGCCCTTGCCCAAACCTTTCCTGGGTTGCAACCCCCGCTTATTTCTACATTTCTACAGCTTATTTCTCTTACCGCTTATTTTCTATTTATTTCTCTACCTCTAACTATGAACTATAGGTCGGCTTGGCTGTCCTTGCCCAAACCTTTCCTGGGTTGCAACCCCTGCTTATTTCTCTATTTCTACAGCTTATTTCTACTTATTTTCTACCGCTTATTTCTACATTTCTACCACTTATTTCCTATTTCTACTGCTTATTTCTACTTATTTCTCTATTTCTACAGCTTATTTCTATTTTACCTATCTTTAGCTTAACAAAACCTAAGAGTTTTCTTATTTTCTACCGCTTATTTCTACCGCTTTTTTTTTAACGTCTACTGACTTTCTCTTTTGCTTATCTTATTTTCTCTACTTATTTAAAAATGCGTCCGCTTATTTCTACCACTTATTTCTACCTTAGGAATTTAAAAATGCTCCAATAAGCATTGTTTTTAGGGATCCACTTTTTATGCTTTTCTGCCTTATTTCTTGTCTATTTTTTTTACTTAGTCTCTCCTTAAGAAATTTAAAAATGCTTCAATTAAGCATTGCCCCATGTTTTACACCGAGCTATTACCAAACCTCGGCTCCCTACCTTACTTTTGCTTTTAGCCTTACTTTCTGCTTTTAGCCTCATTTTTAGTGATCCCCTTCCTGGGATCCTGAATTTCCCAAGTTTTACACCGAGCTAATATTACCACACTTCGGCTCCCTACCTTATTTTTGTTTTTTGGTCTTCTTACTTTTGCTTTTTAAGCTTACTCTCTGCGCGCGCCTTGGAGCCTCCTTTCACCTGACCACTTTTTAAATTCCCCCGAACTCAGGCCTGTTCGGACGCCACTTGTTACAGCCAAAGGTGATCCTGAGTGGGGGGGTGAAAGGATTGAGAAAAGACAAGAGGATGAAAGCTGGGTCTCGGTGGGACGCTACTCCTTGATGAGGAGACAGCACCAGCGCCCACAAGCCGTGTCTTTATTTTATAGCAGATGCCATGAGGCAAAGTAGGGGCGTGATCAAGTTGTTTACAGCATTCTCGTGAGTTTCAACCCCACTCAACTACATGCACCTGAACTCTATCACAAGGCACGTGGGACCACGTGTTTGGACCATAGGTTCAAGCTTACAACCATAGCTGTTGGCTATAATTGTGCTGGGAGGGCCCTGCCCTTCCAGCTGGGACTTGCACGTGGCAATGAGAGGACTCTATCCTTTCATTAGTCCGAGGCTTGAACCTGGCCAAAACACTGTAGCTGCGCCCCACATCCAGACATTCACCAAGGTGGATAAAAAGTAATAACAGTGACTTTCCTCTCTGCCCCTCCAGCCTTGTTCTGCTCTTGTATTGGTTATTGTCATTGATCTTTGCCACTGTATAAAATCCTAGACCTGTTGGAGCCCTGGGCACTGAACCCAGGCAGGGCAAGGGGCAGAGGTGGATATAAGCCAAAGGGCTGCAGAGCAGCCAGCCAAGGGTGATAAGAGCAACAGTCTCCAGAGACAAACCAAGGATCTATCCCAGTGATGGCGAACCTATGACACGTGTGTCAGAGGTGACACACGAACTCATTTTTTTGGTTGATTTTTCTTTGTTAAATGGCATTTAAATATATAAAATCAATATCAAAAAATATGTCTTTGTTTTACTATGGTTGCAAATATCAAAAAATTTCTATATGTGACACGGCACCAGAGTAAAGTAAGGGTTTTTCAAAATGCTGACACGCCGAGCTCAAAAGATTCACCATCACTGATCTATCCAAAGGGGCTTAGGAGAAGAGACAGGGCAGAAACTCGAGGCATCAGACTAGGAGAAGAGTCTATGGATGGAGAGCAGGAAGGAGGCAGACCCTGGAGAGGACCCATGAGCACTGGAGCATTGCCACAGGCTTCAGCAGATGGGGAAGAGCCATGAAGAATACTGAACTGACGTGGGCCTGTCATGGCAAGCTATTCTTGGACTGTCAAGGTAATGGTGAGGTAGCTGAGCCAGGCATGCTCAGTGCTCAGTATTGTCAAGTGCTGTCATGGCAACACCAGGAAACCAGTGCCAGTGTTCTCCCTCCATCCAGCTTTACATGTATGGTTGTTGCATTGGTTCCTTTTTTTCAGGTTGAATAAAATGGTTTAATGTGTTCTCTTTAAATATTCATCTTTTGTATTGGTTTCTTGAGGCTGCTGTAACGAATTACCACAAACAGTGGCTTAAAACGACAAAAATTCATCCTCTCACAGTACTGGAGGCTTAAGTTCAAAATCAAGGTGTCAGCAGGGTTGGTTCCTTCCGGAGGCTCTGAGGAAGGATCTCTTCCACGGCTCTTTCCGGCTTCTGGCGGCTCCCCACAAGCTTTGGAGTTCCTTGGCTCGTAGCTGCATTACTTCAGTCTACCCCTCCATCACCACAGTGCTTCTCTTCTGTGTGTCTGTGTCTCCTCTTCCTTCTCTCTCTTAAATGTAATGGCATTTAGGGCCCACCTGGATAATCCCAGATCATCTCCTTATCTCAAGCTCCTGACTTGAGTCAAATCTGTTACCGTGGACAGGAATATTCACTCCTTCCAGGGATCAGGAAGTAGCCAGGCTTTTCTCCAGGAGGTTCATGAAGTATGGTCTTTGCCCTTGGTTTCTCCCGGAATTTACAATTCTGAAGCTGAGGGCTCTTTACAGAGGTTCCCTTGCCAAGTAGAAACTTGAGAAAAAGGTCAAATACAACAGCTAAATAAATTGTCCTGCCAACCAGCAATGAGAGAAAAGGGGGACACATGTAATACTTTCAACAATAAAGATTTTTTTAAATTGCCCTGCCAAGTGTTTCTGCTGAGTTTCTCCAGTTGATTCTAACAAAGCCTAGGCTCCCGTTGAGAGGAACCAGCCTCCTTTCTGATTTGGCCATTCATGTTTATGAATGGCCTGTCATAACTGCAAGCACATTGTTGTGACTGTAATATACTCCCTCAACACTATCCCCCAGAGCATCTCTAACTGTTGCTCTTGCTACGTCTTCCCAAAGCCTGGGTAGAAGAGCCAAGCTGTCCCTTGCCAGACATTTGCCTCACTGGTTGGCTAGTACCACATCACAGGGTGCAAGGGAAATATCTAAGGTCCCTCACTGTCATTTTCCCCATGTCTCTGTATGGCCCATTCTCTCTCCTTCAAGGCTTTCCTTGAACATCTCCTTCCCAGTGAGGTCTTCTCTGACCACCTCTTTAAGGTTATACACCACCCCCACTGCTCCTGTCCAGCCCTCCTTCATCCTTTATTTTTCTCCACAAAATGGTGCCACCTCCCGACATTCTGTATATTTACTTAGATGTTTTGTTTATGCTCTCTCTCTCATTAGAATGTTAGCTTTTTTTAAGGCTTATTTTTATCTATGTTCACTGCTGCATCCTCAGCATCTAGATGGGTTCTTGGCACATAGTCGGCCTTTGATAAATACTTGCTGGGTGAGGAGCATGGTGACCAAGCTTTAGGTCTGGTCTATATGGTTTTTTATACCAGTTATACTCCTTCTAGGTTGGAGATCTTCGTATATGGCACCAGCAAAAATACCCTCTACCTCTCATTCTAATTAGTTCTAAAAGTGGTAGACAGGTAATTCTAAAATCTTATTTGAGTCAGTGGGTTTTTTTTGTTTTTAGCTTTTACTCCCACCATCTCTTTATTTAAAGCTACTGGAATTCGCCAAAGAAAGATTACAAGACAAGACACCTAAGACAATATCCCTTATAAACACAGACACAGAAATACTTGATAAAACATTAGCAAATTGAACCCAGCCAAGGATACTACACTGTGATGAGGTGGGATTGATCCTGTTGAATTAAGAGTTCACTGTAGCTAATCATAGTAAAGTCACAGCTCTCACATTCACAGCAGGACAGTGACAGACGCAACAGCCCAGCTATATAAAGGATGTGATAATCCCAGGACGTGAACTTGTGAAGGAGGCTCTGTGGCTGGATTGGAAGAGAGAAAAAGAGGTTTTTGTTTTCATGCTGATGGTTTCTTAAGGATTTAGCCCAGTGGTTCTCAACCTTGGCTTGGGGGGGGGCCACAACATTAGTAACAAAGAAACAGAATTTCCGGAGGATGAGGCCCAGAAATCAGGATTTTAAAAAGATTCCCAGGTGATTCTAATGTGCAGCCAAGGTTGAGAACCACTGATTTAGCCCATCAAATTGCTTTGTAGTACCTCTTTGGTACTTCAACAACTAAACCCCCTTGACAGAAATCCCAGATAAGAGTTTGAACCTCATACCTGAATTGTACTTTGTAAAAAAAAAAAATTAAAAAAATTGATCCTATTGTAGTCATTCAAGTTTCCTTTTGTTTTTCTATGAGATGCTTCCTTCTCTGACACTTTCTTTTTTCCACGCCTCATCTGTCATTCATTTGCCTGCAATGTGCTTTCCTTCTTTGTTGTTTCCTTCTCTCCTTCATATTTTTTTACTAATAGACACATTAAGTTCTTATAAGCTAACTGGACTGTAAAATCCATGAGGTCATGAACTGCCTCTTTCTGTTGACTCATGTTTACCTCTCATTGCTAGGCACATGGTAGGTTATTTAATTGATAACTTTAGGATGGATGGATGGATGGATGGATGGGCAAATGAGTGGCCTTTTAGTCAAATTAATCTGTCACATTAGTAGGTTAGTCTTTTGGGATCTTCTTAAAAGTATGTGTCCTTCCTAACTTCTACTCAAGATTTTTAAAATTATACTTATTTTAGCTTTCTGGTTACATGTATTTGAAATCAAGATAAATGGGTGTTTTACTGAATAATAAAATTGTGAGCAGAGTTGCTCATATGCTCTTTTTCACTGGGGTATGTTCCTTTCCAGGTCTGGTATGACTCTAAGACATTTGCTTCTTGGGAAGGAGCATGTACTGTGAAGATCCCAGTAGCCTTGGACACTGTAAGTTGTTCTCAGACTGTTATTTTTACCTGTTGTACTGTATTAGCCTGCTTGAGCTGCCATAACAAAATAGCATAGGCTGGTTGGCTTAAAAAATAGAAATGTATTGCCCTGGCCAGTTGCTTGGGTGTTGTTCTGTGTACCAAAGGCTGTCGGTTTGATTCCTGGTCTGGGCACATGCCTGGGTATCAGGCTCCATCCCCAGTAGGAAGTGTGCAGGAGGCAGCCAACTGATACTAGTTCTCATATAGATGTTTCTGTGTCTCCTTCTCCCTTCTTCTCTCTCTCAAAAACAAACAAACAAACAAAAAACCAGAAATTTAATATCTCATAGTTCTGGTGGCAAAAGTACTAGATTAAGGTGCCAACCAATTAAGTTCCTGGTGAGGACTCTCTTCCTGACATGTAGACAGCTGCCTTCTTGCTGTGTCCTCATATGGCATAGGGAGAGTGAGGTATAGGATCAAGGCCCCACTCTTATGACCTCACTTTACCCTAATGACTTCTGTAAAGGCCCTGTCTCCAAATGTGTACAGTCACATTGGAGGTTGGGGCCTCAACATATGAATTTGGGGGACACAAACATTCAGTCCATAACATGTGCCTACATAGAAAGAACCAAGGATATTAGAGTCCTACAAAATGGCATGGACATATGGAGACAGAAAGTAGATTAGTGGTTGCTTAGGGCTGGGGAAAGGAGAGAATTTGGGGAGTAATGGGTAGTGACTGCTAATGAGCACAGGGATTCTTTTTTGGGTGATAAAAGTGTTTTAAAATTCATTGTGGTGATGGTTGCATGACTCTGGATATACTAAAAGCCATTTAACTATATATACATTAAAAGGGTGACTTGTGTGGCATGTGAATTACTTCAATAAAGCTGTTAAAATATGAGAAAAGTGTAAAAATAACATACTCTGATGAAACATAAAGTACAAACAACTCTTTCCCATATATTTACATGTATATGTCTAAGAAAAATAATAACACTGAACACAGAAAGCAAACATGGTAGTTATCACACATGACATACAGAATGTCCTTCTACTGGACCAAGTCAAAAAACATGTTTGAATTATAACCCGGGACCTCTAGGCCCAAGATAATGCAGTCAGTTATGATGTTAGGATCAAAGTGGCCCATCTGGATAGAATTTCTGGAGGGAAGGTGGCTCCTGCAGCTGAATCACCACCATCACCACAAGCCCTAAGTAGTGTGAAGATTAACAAATAGGTATTGATGTTACTTTCGTTTAATTCTCAGTAGCAATATGAACTCCATTATAAAGAAAATGATTTCAGATGTCAACTTTCAGACCTAGAAGAGACCTTAACTTGCATTTACTCCAATCTCTCATGTTTACTGGTAAAGACACCGAGGTTCAGAGAGGTGAATTTGTCCAGGATTGTGGCTAGATTATGGTAGAACTGAGACTAGATCCCATTTCACACTAACTTACTACCTCATTCTTTGAGGGGAAGAAACGAGATTGGCTGATGAGGGTGGGAAGATAGATGTGCTGTACTTCTTGCTGCCACCTGCAAGTCAAGTAGAGGGTGGGCATCTTAGCTACTCCACCTCACTCCCAGCTTCATTGAGACTCTTGTACTCTTCTCCCTGCTTGTATTTACTCAGAGCAAAGTACACTCCCTTCGGTGATCCAGGGAGCTTTCTTACAGAGAACCGTCCTGGAAGACAGGACACGGGCTGGGCTTTCCCTGCTGGGAATGGCATTCCAGAAGACCCGGAGGTATGGGTCATGCCTCCAATCCTGTTGGTAGAGTCACTTAAAGTGCCCTTGGTGGCTTCTATAACAGAAGTTTCACAAATTTATCCTCAGAATTGAATCATTCATCCTGATGATCCAGGAAATCAGGGAGCAAGATGGGTATAGGTCAGTGATGGCGAACCTATGACACGCATGTCAGAGGTGACACGCGAACTCATTTTTTTGGTTGATTTTTCTTTGTTAAATGGCATTTAAATATATAAAATAAATATCAAAAATATAAGTCTTTGTTTTACTATGGTTGGAAATATAAAAAAATTTCTATATGTGACACGGCACCAGAGTTAAGTTAGGGTTTTTCAAAATGCCGACACACCAAGCTCAAAAGGTTCGCCATCACTGGTATAGGTTGTAGTGAATAAGAACAAAAGTCACCTTCCACAAACAAACGAACTACCATCTTTTATCTACACACATCTACATCTGGGCCTACTTATACAGACAGAAAAATTCACTCTTTAGCAGGGCTCTAGAAATAAACATGTCTATTATATTGACAGCAAAATTAAAGATATAAACCAGGAGAGGCTACTTATAGGATAGGCAGAACAGGTAATAAATTGATGAAGAGTGAGAAGTTTGTTTAGTGTTTGAACTCTATTCCTTTTAATGCCAGGGCCCCCATAAATTTATATTGGCTTTGAATCCACACTTGTAAGGAATGTGAATCTTGTACAATGAAACATTTTTAAATTCTACTTTGAAATTGCCTTCTATGAAAGCTCCTTCCCTGAGAGTGTCGCTCTGTTATAGATACCAGTGTTTCAACGAGGTGGAAGTGTAGTGCCTATAAAGACAACTATAGGAAAATCCACAGGCTGGATGACTGATTCCCCATATGGACTCCGGGTGGCTCTAAGCACTAAGGTATTTGGAAAATGTTACCTTTACCATTTCATTTGTTACTAGTGGTAGCCTCTTGAGTGTGTGACACTGTGTAAAAGTGGTGAACCCCATCTATGGGATAGGTGCTTCAGATGTTTATCTAGAAATCAAAGTTTTTAATCATTTCTGAATCATTGTCTAACTTATCTGACTTGCCTGTGGCTGATCTTTAAGGAGCTCTTGAGAACTAGAAATGATAGAAATTTTTTCTGAGGCACTGTGACCTTTGGTGCTTTGCAACTTGGCATTGATTCCACCTGGACCGAAAAGGTCCACTGGGGCCTAGGCAGCCTGTCCCTGAAACTCAGTCTCCTGTAAAAAGGTATCTGTATCAGTGCAACATTTGGGGGACACCTCCGCTTTCCACGCCCCCCCCCCCACACACACACAATGACTTCTGTTCTCATCAGATGGCTCAAACAACTGAAATCTCCGTGGGTAAAGCCTAGAAGGATCGATCTGTACTTTTAAGCCAAAATGAGAAAGCAGATTTCTCTCCTATCCACTTGCCCAAATGCAGTACCAAACACAACTTCTTACTCATGCAAGTATTATAAAATAATTCAGCTTTCTTTTTTTTTACATCCTTCTTTTCCATCTGTTTCACTTAGGCATGTTTTATTGGGCCAAACTATGGCCTTCAGGCACATAAGAGGCCACAGAATAAAATACAAGAGACTCAAGATCCATAGCACATCAAGCGTTGTCCAAAACAGTAAGCTGCCATGTGGAGTGCTGTGACATTGAATGACATGCAAAGGGAGTCCTCCTACTAAAAAAAGTAGGAACTAGATATCATTCCCTACATGGAGTGTCTACTAAAGAGAGTTGATCTCATCCATTATATACTAATTTTTTTAACTTCAGTTTCATTTATGACCTGTTATCACATTCTGGGACCCTATTTTCAGGGAAGCCACCTATGCCACTGACCATACTTCGGGTTTAAATTTCTTTCAAGAAGGCCTAACTCTTTGTGCTCCTCTTATGTGATTTCCTTATTTATATTATTTCACTAATAGGTATTGATTGTATGACTACTTTGTACAGCTTGAATATTAAGCATATGTTCACCATAATTTTTCACAAATTTTTAAATCTATTATTTCCCTTTAGGGCGTGGCCTTCTTTCCCCAGAAAACTATTATATAACCACATTCTCTTCCTGGATCCACTCTCTAGGGTTCTGCGGTGGGTGAATTGTATCTCGATGATGGCCATTCTTTCCAGTACCTCCAAAAGCAGCAATTCTTACACAGGAAGTTTTGTTTCTGTTCAGGTGTTTTGAGCAACAGGTAATGACAGCTAAAAATCTGTGGGTTTTCTGAAGTAAATTATGTTATTCTTTTGCTATCCTCAAATACACAGCTGATATTTTAAGATACAATTTAAGAAGTTAATGATGAAAGCCATTTATGGAGTGTTTTTCTTTACTTTTTTTCAGCTTCATTCAGGTATAATTGACAAATAAAACTATAACATATTTAAAGTGTACATGATGATATGATATATGTACACATTGTGAAAGGATCCACCACAGAGTTAATTAATACATCTATCACCTCACACATTTACCTTTTTTTGATGAGAACACAAGTTCTACTGCCTTAGCAAGTTTCAATTATACAACATGGTATCAATATAGTCACCAGGTTATACATTAGAACCTCAGACCTTATTCATCTTATAACTGAAAGTTTGTACCTTTTACCAGCCTCTCCCTATTTCACCCACCTCCCATCCCTAGGCAGCCACCATTCTACTCTCTGTTTCTATGAGTTTAACTTTTTTTAAAACATTCCACATATAAATGGTACCATGCTGTATTTGTCTTTCTCTATCTGGCCTATCTCACTTAGCAAAATGCCCTCTAGATTTATCCATGTTGTCATTAATGGCAGGATACCCATCTTTTTTAAGGCTGAATAATATTCTATTATGTATATACTAGGGGCCCAGTGCACGAATTCGTGCACCTTGAAAAGAACTGTGGGCCGCGAGGCTGCAGTGGGCACAGGGGCGGGTCTTGGCCCATCCTCCGCGCCCTAACCCGGCCCCTCCCACTGTGGCCCCAAGTCCCCTGTCTGCTGGCAGTCCCACTCCTGCCACCACTGCTCCCACACGCTGACAGCACCGGCTCCACTCGCACCCGCTGACAGCGCAGAGCAATTGACCAGCAGCAGGTGCAAGAGGAGCCGGCGCTGTCAGTGGGTGTGAGCTGTGGCTGCTGGCCCCGATTGCCCCTCAGGAGCAAGGGGAGTTGGAGAAGCCCTGAGGGGAGATCGGGGCTGACAGCTGCCACTCACACCTGCCGATGGCGCCAAGTGATCAGGGCCAGTGCCAGGCACCAACAGCAGGTGCAAGCAGCGGCTCTGGTGCTGGCAGTGGGTGCAAGAGGGGCCAGCTCCAGCAGCAGGTGCAAGCACCAGGCAGGACCACGGTGCACAGGAGCAAAGAATTTTCAGTAACAACCAGAGGCTCACCCGATGACAGCAACTGGCACCCCATCTTGGTCTGGTGCCCCTGCTCACTTGCTCCACCATCCCACCATGGCCGACGCCCGCCATGTTCTGCACTCTGCGCCTGCTGCCAACACCCGCCATGTTCCATGCACACCCCCTGGTGGTCAGCGCACGTCATGGTGATCAGTTGTTTTGTTGTTTGGTTGTTCCACCGTTCGGTCTATTTGCATAGTAGGGTTTTATATATATACTAGAGGCCTGCTGCATGAAAATTCATGCACTGGAGGGGTGGTCCCTCAGCCTGGCCTGCCCCTCTCACAGTCCGGGAGCCCTCAGGGGCATGCCCGGAGGCAACTCGGCGATCAGGGGAAGGCGACACCCCATCACACCTTTGCCAGCAGTGCAAGCCTTGGCCAGCCTGGTGGGCTGAGGGAACTGGACACTGCCATCTTGTGGCTGTGGGCACCGCCATCTTTGAGAGAGTGGCAGTCAATTAGCATATTCCCTCTTTATTGGCTGTGGGTGCCGCCATTTTTGAGGGCAGGACAGTCAATTAGCATATTCCCTCCTTATTGGCTGTGGGCATCACCATCTTTGCAACAGCGTGAGGGCCAATTAGCATATTCCTTCTTTATTAGATAGGACTAGAGGCCCAGTGCACGAAATTCGTGCCTGCACTCTTTCCAATCCGGGAACCCTCAGGGGATGTCCGACTGCAGGTTTAGGCCCGATCCTAAATGCAGCGTGAGGGCCAATTAGCATATTCCTTCTTTATTAGATAGGACTAGAGGCCC